CCCTCTTTTAGAGGCCTCCCAAACACAGAAAATAATTTCCTTGATATACATCATTAAACCAAATACTTTGGACTCTTTGATGAGTGTTTGGCGTGAATTGATTTCATGTTTAGCATAGGAATCGTCGCAAAGTAAACTCATTTCCGCGATATAGGCGTCAATAAAGGGCAACATTTGTTGGTCATCGGGAAAGTCATTGCCACCGAAGTCCAGTTATTGTTGACACCAATTGGCAAAATAGTCACCAAGGTCTGCGCCCCTATACATATAGTTACTCCAATCGAAATCAATGAGATATAAATCTAGATTCTGGTTATTATTCTCGTCTCCTTTGACAACCAGAATATTCTTACGGTTGAGGTCGTTGTGCGAGAAGACTACCGGACTGTTGAGGTCGACCACCACTTGTCTGAGCCATGCCATCTCAGCCAACAAATCCATTTCCTTAAATGCCTGCAGTTTTTGCTTTTGGATCTCTTCATAAACTACACCCTCTTTGAAGGACAGTATGTCTTCGGGCCCTAACCACTCCTCGAACAACAATTTCATTGTATTTTTGGTGCTGTCTTTAGGGATCGGTACGTCTAGTCCATGAAATTTTGCCAACTTTTGGGCCAACAGTTTGACAGCTTTGGGGTTTAGATCATCGTCGGCATTGAAATATCGACACTATTTTTATGATAATTAAAAACTTTAAACATATTAATGTAAAACTAATTAATAAAATTCGTCAATTTGTTGTATACATCAATATATTCAGTGATGACTCCCTTATCAAAAACACTGAGTATTTTCGGTGATAATCCCTTCGAGGATACTATCAATGCAACGACCAATACATGAGTGGTATTACAATATTCTTCAAGTATGTCTTGAAACCTGACCACAACCTTACAATATTGGGATTCAATGTTTTCGGGCAAAAATCCAAATAATAATTTATTCACGAATCCATCACTAAATGAAAACAAATTAAATATAATAAAACGGGTTAAATAAAATATGAGTATCTGTTACGTGACTGATTTGATAATGAGTTGATCGGCACTAACTTCAGCCCATTTGCCGCCTAAATATGATTTACACAACTCGTGTACTTTTAGCCGATCCTCAGCCG